TGAATGACCACGGCAGTGTGGGACATGTTGGCTTTGAGGTGCCCGTCGGACATTCAGATGGATTTCCAAGCAAGCTATTGACAAGGCTTTGTTAACACCGGTGGGAGAGGTCCCGGCTAGAGACGGGGAGTTGGCTGTGGTTAGGATAACGCTTTGTTCTTGCCACTGGATCCTTCAAAGCTTTAGTACGAGGCTAGCAACTGTTTACAAATGCTTCGGTTTTATTCTTTATGTTTGACTTGTTTTTAACTTTTAAGTCTATGATCGTGGTTGTTATATTCACCCCCTTTACCCTGCCCCCCAAAACATATATCCATGGAGAGAGAGAGAGAGAGAGAGAGAGAGAGAGAGAGAGGAGGGATATGGATATGCTTGAAATGGATAAAGGAGTTTCAAAGATGAAACCCAATTGGAACACAATTACTGACCCCAAACACTCGCTGTCTCCTACAGAGGAGTAGAGAGAAGTGGCCAGTTTATGCCCTGTCCCCTTCTCCCTGATTATTAACCCATCACATTGTACTTTATTCAGGTCTCAGAGACTGTCTTATGGCAAGTCTAGGAGTTCATTTTAGTTCATCCCAAGTGACCTGAACCTCTCTGTCCAAAGACGTGACCAAACATCCCGAGAGACTGATCTGAGCCGGAGGGCGTCGATGGAAATGTGAATTTAGATACCTCCCGGACACCCTTTGTGACCAGGAGCAGGCTGGCGGCGGGGAGGGTGGTGGAATGCAGGGTGTTGGGGGGCTCCAGGGTGCGGTTTGCCACGGCTGTGCTTCATCTGCCCCACGTCAGGCTTTCTTTCCTGTAGATCCTGTGCCGTCTCCAAGGGCTAGGATCTAATTAGTTTGCATTTGATTTCTTTGCTGCCTAATGAACTACCTCTGTAGTTCTGGCTGTGATGTCATTAGCATCTCATTGCCTTGGGCACCAACTCAGGAGAGAGAGTCTTAAGCAGTCCCCGAATCCTACGGGAATTGTACCAATTTACTTCATAACAACTAATCCACCTCCATGACCTGTCAGTTCCTACCAGCAGAGCAGACCCTGTATGAGGATGGGTCCCTCGCTTTTATCATCCTCGTACGCTCCTAAGTCTAGGTGGGTCAGTATGTACACGCCTAAGGCCATGGGCACATCCACAATGAGATTCGAAACATTGAGGATGCCAACATTCTCATTCCACAATATTCTATTGAGGAAATTCATCCACTGGGTGCTGTAGGATACAGATTTAGCCTAAAGCAAATGGCATTTATTTATAGCAAACTGTATTTGCAAAATGCTTTGCAGTTTTGGGGTTGTTAACTACATTCCAGGTTGGCTGTTCTTCTACTTATATGAAAGCTAAGTGTCATGGCTGGACTCCAAAGCCTCCCTGAGAGCAATTCGATGAATTCTGCAAACAGGGATAAGAGGGGGCCACGCCCCTTCTGGGCACCTGGATGCCCTTGATCAGAAGGCACTTTTGCCAATTATAATCTTTTAAGACCTTAATTGTAGCTCCTTTCTTATGTCCAGAGTCTCTGTAGCTTGTTGAAATCGCATATTCATTTTATTAAGAGACAACGTAGTGCCTCAAAGTACTAGAGAATTTCCACCAGGGATCTAGAGGGCAGAAGAGGCAAGAAGTACCTAAGGAATGTAACCAGAGTGGGAGGTGGAGGGGAGAACCATTGAACAATAAGGAAATGGGGGGGGGGTCTCCTCTCTGTGACTCTCCATGCACTCTCTCTACCTCCCACTCCAACACTGAGGGGGAGTTAAAAGCAAATGTCAAAGATCAGACTCCCCTAAAGCTTTTAGGATTTGAACTACTCTCTTGCTTGCCACAGACATGATGTTATAGGTGCTCTCTTTGGGCAAAGGGAGATTTATCTGGGCTTTCACCACCGGACTCCATCATTTTAAGGAGTATTTCCCAATTGTGCCTTTAACTGCGCATGGAAAATGCATTTCCTCTTTGAAAAATCTCTCTCACACACACATCTCTATTCTTTGCTGGAGCCTGAATGGATGGCTTTGGGAGTTCGCTGCTCATCACTTCTGTATAAATCCAGCTCCTCTCTAGACAGCTCCGTACTGCATGACCAGGGGGCTAGAGGGTCCTTCACAGGGCCTGCTTTCTATGAACCTGAATATTTTCAGGAGAAAGAAAATAGGATTCTGGATCAAAACAAGAGTTTGGTGGTCTGCCACCATCTTCTTTTGCATCCTCCTTCCCACGCCTCTCTTCTCCCTAACCGTGCTCCTGCCCGGATATTGAAGGGGATTCGTGGTATCTTGATTTTGCTTGGGACAGTCAGAAGACAGCCACCAGGGAATAGCCTCTCAACTGGTTACAGCAATTACAAGTCTTAAGGATGGAGTGCTGGAGGGCTGGGAGGTGGTCACTCAGCTCCACTGTGTTTGGGGATTCGGTGCCCTCTAGTGGCCACATCTGGCTGTCAGAGCGGTGCACCCTAAGTGATAAATGGGCAGGCGTCCTACACCTGAATGCGTGTGGAGTGTGTGGTGGGCAAGTGGGGGGCAGAGTTCCTGGATATTTGGGGATTCAAGGCGAGAGGAAAGGAATTTGGTGGCATCTTATCTCCACTGAGAAGTGTCACTCCATGTGAAGGATATTGAGGGAGGATTTTCATTCTCCGTCTCTCAGAATTACCTGTCTCTTGCTCTCTATTGTTTCTCCTTAGGATACATTTTCTGGAATTAGGCTACTCATTAAATTTTTTTCTTATTCCACTGGGAAAAAAAATGGCACTGTCACACACTTTTTTAAGTTACCAGGTGTTACTTTTCCAAGTTTATTTTCTGTATAGTACCAGAGTGGCCACACAGAATTCATTGCAAGATTTTTCCTCTCACAGAAGTCATTTTACACTTGATATCGCCATCTAGTGGTCATTTCATGGGACCTCTTTTCCCTGCCTCTGTTGAATACACTCCACAAGGAGGGCTGTGGGTTGAGGAGATGAATCTGATCGGAAGGGTCACGAGGGCCCTCCAGGAGACACTCAAGCTCCGTGGCAAGGTTTGTGCAGCAAAAATTTTTAAATTTTGTCTTGAAAAGACGCACTGTGTTTTCACTGATTTTTTTCTTTTTTTTGGAGCTTCATTCACTTCCCCAATGAATGAAGGCCTTTTTTTCTAGAAATCTTATCAAGAATCCAAGACCTCATTCACTTCTTCTCCCTGCCCAGTCTATATAGCCTGTTGAAGAATACTGAGGCCTGGCCAGGGGCTGGGTGAGGAGAGTCCTTCCAGATTGTGGTCATTTTACAAATACTCTCAGCCATGGGACTGACTGAGTTGCATAAGCCTGAATGTCAATCAGGATTTACATGTGGCTCAAGGGACCTTGGGGCTCGCTGGTGTGGGCTCCTGGGCCACCCTATTTGATAACATCATTCTTGGTTTTGGTACGTGTAGTTATGCAGTTTTTATAAACTAGGAAAGGCTTCAGTTCCACTCTGGGTTTGTTATTAAACAAAAAGCAAATGTGAAATGAATTGTATCCCGTGTTTGCAGTCACTGAGAGAATCCTTTGTGTTAGTGAGCAGGGGGAAAGCCATGTCAGTGGAGTCTCTGGATGAAGATGCCTCATCCACATAATGAGGGTGTTCATCTGGGAGACAACAGTGCTGAAATGTCTCATGACGTTTCCAAACAGGTTCATATTACATAACAAACAAGAGACAGGCGAGCAGAGCACTCCCTGGACCCCACAAGAGAGAACCTTGTTATCAAGTCAATGAGTTGTATCCCGGTCACCTTCTGGAACCTTCCAACCATTTCCCCCAGAGATCTGGCCCATCGAGTACCGCATTTCCCCCAAATCAGGCCGAGATGACCAGAATGAATGTTCTAGATCTGCCCCTTGTTCCTAAAATCTCTGTGGTCTGCATGAAATTGTCTCATGTTCGGGACTGCAGTGGTGTCACAAAAGGCCAGGGGTGTAGAAAGGAACCCAAGGCAAAGGTAGACTTGGGTCAGCGGACCCTACTTCCATCTTCCTCTGGAATGAAGAGGTTAAATGGGAAATCACGAAGGCTTGGAGGACAAATATCAAGCCATGCTTTCTTCCATAGGGAACAAAGTATTATGTTCGGGTAGGCATTTCTCATCTTTGACACTAAAAATAAACCAAGAGTTTCTCTAACTACCTTTTTTACTCATCAATCAAGGGCGATGTGAACCTGTTTCTTTGGAGTGCTTTGGAATGCAGATCTTTTTGAAAAAGCCAGAACTCCCTCCCCATATTCAATACATTGATGGGTAATGAAGCAGAGAAGTCCTCTTCTTCCCCCCAATGACTCAAAGGCTTTGGAATCTGGCAAAACTGGATTCAAATCCCAGCTCTGACCACCTGCTACCCTTGTGTGATCTTAAGGCTCTTGACCTCACTTTCCTCACCCATAAAATGGATGCAATGATGGAAGTCCATGCAGAGAGTTCTTGTAAGGGTTAAAGGAGGCCTGGACCGGATCTCACTTCCTAGTTTAGGTAAATCTTACCTGTGGTTATAATGAAGACTGTTATGATGGTGGTTGGCCATGCACTAGCCACTGGGGTGTGTGCTTTAAAAACATGTTGTCATTTATTCATCACACAACGCTAGAGGTAGTACTAGGAATATCTTCATTTAATGGATGAGGGAGCTGAGTCCCGGAATAATCACTGTTGCTACTGTTTGTATTCCTGACGATAGTCCTAGATCCTGCACATGCATTGAAGATGCCTCCCTCTGAGGGGATCAGTGGAGCTGATGATTCTCTGAAAGGAAACAACCTGATCTCACATTTAGAAGGCTGTTTCCAACTCTGTTGGTTACTGGGAGGTTGGGTTCCCCCTATTCAATGGGAGGTCAGAATCACATCCGTAACCTGCCAGTGACATTTCGTGACCTCCCTACTCCGGCACTCGGGCCACAAGAACATGCAAGACCTTGCTCTTTGATGATCCTTGCTCACTGTTCCTTTTCGTTTTGTGTCCGGCAGGCAACTCTCCATCCGATGAGTCGGAGGAGCGGGAAAGAGACCCCAAGGTGCTGACGTTCCCAGAATACATCGCCAGCCTGTCAGAGTCTGGCACCAAGCGCATGGCAGCTGGGGTCCGCATGGAGTGTCAGAGCAAGGGCCGATGCCCCTCATCCTGCCCCCTGTGTCATGTGACATCCAGCCCTGACACTCCTGCTGAGCCAGTTCTGCTGGAGGTGACCAGAGCAGCCCCCATCTATGAACTGGTGACCAACAACCAGACCCAGAGGGTAAGAGGCCTGGGACCCTTGACTCTGGGAGGCCTGAGCAACAACAGAGGGCTTTCCAGATGGCCTGGGGGGTGACAGGGTGTAGTTGAGCTCCCTGCTAGAATATGGATAGTGAGACTTTTTGTTGAGCTAATCCGGGCACATCATTTGTTTAGATTCGCATGTTTGCATATGAAATCAAATCAGTGCATCCACAACACCCATGATAATGAGTCAGGAGTCACAACTCAGCATTAGGGTAGGTCCTTGAGCAACAAGGGCTGGAAAGAAAAAGGTGGAGAGGGAGGCATGGCATTCGTAGTCACTAAAGGCCTTGTTCAGAAAGCCTCAGGGGCCAGTCGTGAGAGGAGGCTCAGCTCCCCTAACAGATCCCGAGCCTGGACCAGCTGCGAGGTTAGGAGGAGTGCGTCAGGCCCAGGTCCCGAAGGGAAGGGTCTGGTCTTAGCCTGGAGGGGATGGTTTTCTGCCCGTCGCTTTGACTCTGAGAACAAAGACTATAAAACACCACATCCATGCAAATCTTCCGCCTCAAATAATGCCACTAGATCATGACCTTTCCCAGCAGCACCCCCTGTCCCTCTGCGGCTCCCTTTCCAAAGGTGCTGCGAGAAAACGAATGGACCCAAAGGGATAAGCTGGAGACCTGTGGCTTAGCTCATCTCCTAGCTCTCTGATCTCCTCAAGGGCAGACAGAACAGAGCGGGTCAAACACACAACAGCAACGGTGATGACGATGACAAGAATAAAAACACGAAAGCTCAGGGTGTGGGACTTTTGAGACTACAGGCCAAGGTGGCCTTGGGGACAAGACATAGTAGAGTCAGAGCAGAGAGCTGCTTACCTGCCTGAGAGGTGTGTCCATCGAGGTGGGGCCATAATTGCTTTGTCTGTCCTCCTTTAAGGGACACCTGGTATATTGTGTTGTTTCACAGGTGATGCTCAGACCAACAAGGACAGGTTTTGCACACGTGGGCTTCCCTCACCTTTCCGCCTCTGCCACAGACATTTCACTGAGTGTTTGAAGACAAGGTTTCTCAAAAGAATAAATGGTTCCTTCGGCCTATGAATTCCTCTTCAGTCTAGTAGAAGTGACTGGGGAGGAGGAGTTGGAGAGAAAGGCCCACGAGAGGGGGGTTTACAAGGATGATGAGGAGGAGGGGTTGGTGTCACTGTGGAGACCCAGAGCTGCGGTGGCTTTAACCCAGCGCCCTTACCTGTCTTTTGTGAGCACCCAAGGCTGCTGGTGCCCCAGGATCACCTGTGCACTTGCCTGGGAACAGCAGAGGCAGAGAGCACACTCCCAGCCCCGTGCTGCGGGGCAAGGCGTGCAAAGCTGCAGAATAAGGAAGAGCCTGGTGGGAGAGGAGGACAGAGACTCATGGCTTCCTGCAGGGGCGTCATGAGCATGATGGGGAAGCTAGAGGAATCTGTCTTCATCATCCCCCTCTCTGGATCTCCTACTTGCCACATCTTGGCCCCTCCTTGTCTCCCTGCACTGGTTTCACGAGAGTGGTTGGGAGATACCAGGCATCTGGCTGTGTTTTGAATATTTTAATTTCTAAATGCATAGACAAGGTGGCCGAATCGGTTCAGTCACCATCACGTAGTTGTTCTTTCTTATTCCTCAAACGCATTCTTTCTTCTCTGCTCATTCTCTCTACTCCTCTGCTTTTCCTTCCAATTTTCTCTTTCTCCCAAAGAATGAGGATGTGGAGTGTAGAAGCAAAGGAGGGGGTGGGGGTGCTAAGTCACAAAACCTGTAAGTCAGCGTGTGTTCTTATCCCTACCTCTCTGGCATGTCTGGAACCAATTTTCTAACCTCTCTTGGTCTCCTTGGCCTCCTTCTCTGGGACCAGATAATCTGTGATGCCATATTTCAGTCTGTGATTAGAAGCAGCCCAGAAACCAGTAGGTGGAGCCGTATAACCCACCAGGTGTCCCAGACCCAACAAACTTGAACTCACCATCTTCCACCCCAAACAGCACAAACATTGTGCTTCAATCTCAGTGAATGGGATTCTCTTCTACCGAGTTGCCCCAAATGGAGACCAAGTATGTTTCCTTTTCTTGTCACTCCCTGACATCTGTGTATCACCAGGGATCACAGATATCTTGAATCCAGGGGCATCTGGTGGCTCAGTCGCTTGAGCGTCCGACTTCGGCTCGGGTCATGACCTCGCGGTCTGTGAGTTCGAGCCCCGCGTCGGGCTCTGTGCTGACAGCTCAGAGCCTGGAGCCTGCTTCCGATTCTGTCTCTCCCTGTCTCTCTCTGCCCCTCCCCTGCTCATGCTCTGTCAACCTCTGTCTCAAAAATAAATAAAAACATTTTTTAAAGTTTAAAAAAAGAGACAAATACCTTGAATCCATTCTCTTGTTACTGTACCCCCATCACAGACTAACTATTTCAGTCATCCACTGTAACATCAGGCCGCCATCTTGTTACAGTAACCTCTTACTGGTTTTCCTGTGAGACCAGTCAGAGTTTTCTCTCTGATGTGGATATCTGGTCTTACTGCAGCAAGATAATTCAGTGGCTCTGCAGAATCTGTTACATACAATCTAAAATCCTTAGCATGTCATTATAAGGGCCCTTCATTGTCCCAACGGTGTCTTCACTTACACGGTTAGGGTGTACCCACTCTATACTTTATGTTCTATCCTCCAAATTTTAACTCTTTGTACCTTCTTAAACACATTTTCTGTTGTGCATCTAGCCCTTCACACTTGTGACTCTCGCTCCCAGGAATGGCTTGTCATACATTTCTGCCACTGGCAAACTCCTGCTGTGAAGTGTTTCCAGGTTTCAGCTCAAGCATCACCCGCTGTGACAAGCCTTCCCTTGTTCTCCGAGGCCAACCCATGTGCCTTCACGGCACATTGTCTGTATCCATACATCTTCTGGAACGCGTATCACCTCCTATCACAAGTGTTCACATGGTTCACTCTCCTGGAGACCCTGAGAAGCACTCGTTCTTCTGTGGAACCCCAGTGCCGAGTTGTAGTGGACACATAGTGAGCACTTTGCTGAATCAATGAATGAAATGAATAAATGGAGGAATGAAGGGACCGGTGAACTTTGCTCAAAAGTTCAGCTGCTTTCCTTAGAACAAAATAATAACAAAACTGGGAAAATCCCATTTCTTTTCTGGAATCAGGATTAAATCTCATAACAAATGAGGACTCCCCAGGCAATGCCTGACACATTCCAGACACTAAGAAAAACGTTAATTTTTTCCCCCTTCCTTTCCAAAAAGCCCTCTTCTTGATTCCTCTCTTCTACCCTGTCCTGCCTTCTGCAGCTAGCTATGACCCAGGATTGAGGGAGTCAGAACTCGTGGAATTGTGTGAGTCAAAAGTGGAAAGTTAAAGCTTTTGAAGAAATGTTTGTTGTCATAAGTGTTGGTCCTTACTCCTTTGGGTTGGAAATCTGATAATGTTGTCGTCCCCCTATTTAAGACACTTTAATGGGGCACCTCAGTGGCTCAGCCAGTGAGTGTGGACTCTTGATCTCGGCTCAGGTCATGATCTCACAGTTCATGAGATCGAGCCCCAAGTCTGGCTTCGTGCTGACAGTATGGAGCCTGCTTGGGACTCTCTGTCTCTCCCTCTCTCTCCGCCCCTCACCCACTCTTTCTCTCTCAAAAATAAATAACCATAAAAAATAACCACTTTAATGGCTTGCGGCTGCCCTCAGAATGTGACACTGCCCCTCACCATGGCCCACACGACCTCTGTAACACGCCCCACGCCTTCCTTTTGCTTCCTTTTGCTGAGAACCTCTTCCCCCTTCACTCTGTCTCTTAGAGCCAGAGCAACCTTTTCTCCGTTGATTTTAGAGGTCAAGTTTCATCCAGGCTGAAGTCTTCTTAATATTGGTTTTTCCGCCTGGAACACTTCCCCATCTTTTGTAACCAGACTCCTGATCTGTCCCTCCAAGTTCAATAAAAACACATCCTCAGGGAGGCTTTCCCAAACTCCTCTGTGAGACCGGCCGCCCTCCTTGTCCCTCCTGCCACATTTCACCCTTTTCCGTTGGAGCCCCACCACCCAGTTGTAGTTATTTGGCTACTTATGTAACTTGTGCTTGTTTATTCTTTTGCTGCAAGATTTATGTGGGCAGAGACTGTATATATCTTATGCATCGCTGTATCCTTAACGCCAAGCACAGGAAACACCCCCACAGGTGCTTGGCTAGTAATTGTTGATGGAAGACTGTAAACGGGCAGCCACAATTTCCTCTCTATTCTACCGATCTCAATGAAAGTCTGTTTTCTTAGTTTAAAAAAGTATACTTTTGATTTGAATTTGGTTCAGGCAGGCAGAGCATAAAGTGAGCACCTACCGTGCGCCCGGCTTCATGCTGGGAACTGGCAGATCCAGCGTTTATGAAGAGAGCTTTGCTAGAAAGAGCCTGAGATGTAGCATGGGTCACCTTGAGCTCAGGTTCTGTCACTGCCCCCATTCACTAGCCCGTGACCCTGAGCAGCTCACCTCACCTCTTTGACTCTAAGTGTCCTCCACTGTCAATCATAACCATTTTCCAAGGAGCTCAAACTAAAGTGTTAGCCCTACAAGGGCCTTGAGATTCTAAAACTGCACACATATTTTAGTGATACTCAGGAATTGGCCCCTGCTCCCTAGACGCTCCCAACCTGAGGGATTGGGATGAGGAAGATCAATATTGACCCTTATTTTCAACTATGTCAAGTTCTGAAGCAACGTAACTTGGGATACTGGCTTTCAGCGTGAACGTTTTGATTTTTGTAGGGCTTTCTCTCTCTTTTTTTTCTTCTTCTTCTTCTCCTCTTTTTTTTTCTCCTTTTCTCCTTTTTCTCCTTTTCTTCTTCTCCTCTTTTTTTTTCTCCTTTTCCTTCCTCCTTTCTTTCCTTTCCCCCTCCCCGTCTCTTTCTTTCAGTTTCTTGGCCCCAAATTTTCAATGTGGGTTTGGTAAGAGCGGGTCAGAGAGAAGAGACTCACAGGAAAAGCAGCGGCTGCAGTAGATGGGCTGACCCAGAGAGAAAGCTGACCTTGGCCAGCTTGGCCAGCCATGTACCATGCGGCCAGCCTCCCCCTCTGCCCATCCCTGGCCTGGGGTTGAGGCAGCAGCACCCCGCTGAGGGGTCAGTGCCCGTCAGGATCTGCTTCCTCGCCAGAGAATTGCCCCATCTCAAGTTCTTCTCCTTGACTGGTCTAATTTTATCCTTTGTCCTTTCATTTAATAGTGAATATCTGCTATGAAAACACTGTATATAAAGAATTGTTCTAGGCTCTGCGGCATTTATAAGCTTCCCCATAAGATCCCACTCTGTCATTCAAACACAATAATAATTGCTGACATTTATTGATGACTGCTGTGTACTATTTATATGCGACTAGTGCGTGCATAGCACAAGTACTATGCTATGCCCTTTGGCGTATATTATTTCATGTGATCATCACAACCCTGTAAGGAAAGTGCTGTTTGTCTCCCGTCTTTCCAGTGAGGAAACATTTATGCAGTTGGCCCAAGGTCCCACGGCAGTGATTGGCAGAGCCGAAGTCCTCACCCAGAGCAGACAGCTCTGGAGCCCGGTTCTTAGCGTGTCGGCCGCACTTTCTGCCCTCCACCAGGAGAGAGAGGCCTCATACGCAATCACAACCCAAGGCAGAACTGTGTAATTATCGTACGTGGGGTACAGGCGTGCTGAAGGAATGAGGAGGCCATGCTGGGCAGGGTGCAGAGGCCACACAAGGAGGCACAGAGAGGCATTTGAGAAAGGGCCAAGGGCCTCAGGGCAGAGGAAAGGGAGGTAAGGTCAGTGTATGGGACAGAGGTTACTGTCGCTAGGGCCCCGGATGTGGAATGACGGCTGGAGTAGGAGGGACAAGTAAGACTTGCTTCCAAAGTGACAGCCCTTCACCTGTCCCATTAATGAGAGAGAGGCACCCTACAGGTCCTGCGAGGTCTGGCTTCCCAGAAACGGTCTCCAGGGATTAGGAATTTTAGCTCAAAAAATGGTGAGGCGGTGCCACAGCCTACTGCCCGGATATTATTTAGAACCAAGCAGAGCCCTGGCGCGGTGGCTCAGTTGGTTAAGTGTCCGACTCTGGCTCGGGTCATGATCTCTTGGCGTTGGGCTCTGTGCTGACAGCTCGGAGCCTGCTTCCGGCTCTCTGTCTGACTGTCTGTCTCTCTCTCTCTCTCTCTCTCTCTGCCCCTCCCCTACTCGTGTGCTCTGTCTCCCTCTCTCCCTCACTCTCAAAAATAAATAAGTGAACGTTTTTAAAAATGCAAAAACCAAAGAAGCAGGCGGAGCCTCGATTCTGTCTCTCGACTGTGGTGGCCCAGCCCCGACTCCTGGACGCTCACTCTCTCCCCTGCCCTCTCTTGCAGCTCTTGCAGGAGGCCACCATGAGCTCCCTGTGGTGCTCAGGGGCTGGAGACGTCATCGAGGACTGGTGTCGATGTGACTCCACCGCTTTTGGAGCTGATGGACTCCCCACCTGTGCGCCTCTCCCACAGCCCGTGTACGATTCCCCTTCTCTGCCTCTGTTGCATGCACGCCTCCGCACGCTTCCGCACACGTAGATTGCAGAGGGTCCACTGTGTGCAAAGCAGTAGGCTGGGTGCTGGGTAAGAAAACCGCGAGGCAGTACCTGCCCTCGGCCAGCTCTCCATCCTCCGGGGGAGGCAGGCGCACAGAGAAGCTGTAGGTAGAAGACAGACGAGAAGAGTTCTAGGAGTTCTGTGAGACTTTTCGGCCGAGTGTGAAAGGGAACGGTCAAGTCTGAATTTGGGGAATGGCGAAGCCTTCTTGAAGGAGGTGGCCCTTGAATCTCTCCCTGAAGGTGGAGGGGGTAGGACAGCACGTGCAGAAGATCAGAGGATAAAGTGGTGTTGCAAAGGAGGAAGTGAGAGGCCTGTAGCGAGCCGCTAACTAGGCCAAGGACGCCCTGGGTGGCGGCACCGTGTGGAGCCACTAGGTACTGTTATCACTTTCATTTAAGAGATAAGGAAATGCATTCAGATGGACTGAATTTTTCCAAGGTCACTGAGCGGGAAGCAGAACCACCACCGCTAAGAAGCTGGGATCTCAGCCGTGATAGTGTGGGAAGGACACGATAGAAAGACGACTTTAGGTAGAACCAGCAGGGGGCAGTGGGTGACTTGTTGGTGGGAGGGGGAGAGAGGGATGAGTTGAGAATGGATGTTAAGACTCCTGCCCCCGTGGCTGGGAAGATGAACAGGCCACAGCTGAGAAAAGAAGCAGGCTTGAGGAGGAGGCTGTGTTCGTGTGGACCCGTCTTGGGGTTCTGTCGGGGCAGTCCTAATTGGAGATAGATGTTCAGTGGTCAGAGGGAAAGACAGTCTGGAGCTCTGTAGGAAATATAGACACTAGGGGGCGCCTGGGTGGCTCAGTCATTTAAGCACCCTACTTCGGCTCAGGTCATGATCCCACGGTGTGTGGGTTCAAGCCGCACGTCCGGCTCTGTGCTGACAGCTCAGAGCCTGGAGCCTGCTTCGGATTCTGCGCCTCCCATTCTGTCTCTGCCCCTCCCCGACTAGCGACTAGCGTGCTCTCTCTCTCTCTCTCTCTCTCTCAAAATAAATAAACACTTAAAAAAAAAGATAGGCACTAAAGATAAGATTTAAATCAACCCCAAAGAAACGAGAGATGCAACCACAGCTATGAGAAAGGCTGCTCCAGAGTAAGTATAAACTGGGAAGAGGAGAGTTGGGGATGAGCATCAGGGGGTATGTGCCTTTGAGGAGTGAACAGAGTACAGAGGGCTGCTAGGGTGGTTCACGGTGAACATGTCCAATTTCCTTGCCCTCAGGGGAAGGCTGAACAGAACTGGTGAAATTCCTGTAAAGGGCCTGAGGCAGGAACCGCCTTAGCCTCTACTGTGGCATCCGCCCTAGAGGTGAAGCACAGACATATGGTGTCTAATAAAGAGTGCTGGCAGGAACAGCCAGACCTGCGTGGCCCCGTGGGTTGGTGAGGCAGAGAAAGCCCAAAGGGAGGATCAGGACCAGCGGGAACAGGAGGGCCGAGTCAGCAAGAGCGAGCCGGCAGGAGGAAACCAGCAAGTGGAAGGCTGGTTCTGTTGGACGCTGCCCTCTGGCCTGTGGCATGGGAGCACAGGTGGGCATTACCAACGGGCCAAGATGAGCAGGAAGAGAACCGAGAAGGAGGAGGACACAACAGTAGACGGTCAGTCCAGACCAGTGTTGTCTACACGACCTCTCTCTAAGGGTAGTTTTAGATACACCGGCCCTTCGTTTCTTGCTCTTTACGGCCATGACTTGGACCTCTTGAGTCAAAAGAGAATCAAGCTCATTGTCAGTAGAAGTCTTTTCTTTTGGTATAAAGGGGGCCACTGGAAGCAGATGATGCTTCTGGATGGATTCACCAACTAAGAAAATTACCTTTGACACAACACTGAAGCCGCCAAATAGTTATCACTAGGTGGACACAAGAGCCCACCATTGGTGTCTTAGGGCTGATTTTTTCTCCAAACCTGTGTTTACTATATGTCATCGCTAAAGATCAAATTGGGCTAACTTTCCATAAGCAGAGGTTCCATAAGCAGGAGCCTCTATTAAGGACTTCACTTCTTGTGTCAACTTTAATCACTTCTTTAGTGGCAGACGTTAGTTTCTTGAATGTTGACTGGTCATTGGAAATAGAAATGCACTCTGGTTTTACACGAGTCTCTGTAATCACGCACGCTATTTTTCAGGAGAGGGGGGCTTCAGTCCATATTTTCAAAGAATCTGAGTTCTCAGAAAGGCTTAGTTACTCACTTAAGCTTCCTAATGCTTTTTCTTCAGAATAGCACTCTGCATATGACTCTAATTAATGAATTTGTCAATATCCGCACTGTTTTGGGTCTGTTCCATCTTTAATGTCATATGCAAACTATGAGCTGCTTCAGAGTAAGCCACTAAAGAGCATGTGTTTTGCATTATTTTCCCACTGGTTAAATTCCTTGCTATTGCTCCCACAGCCTCCCGTGATTTCTTCTTAAAGTTCTTATCACACATTATTATAAGCACATGTATAGTTGTCTATTGACCACTCCCCTGCATCTTTAGCCCCAAGGTCATTCTTACAATAGGTGTTTAACAAATATTTGCTGAATTGAAATTGACTTTTGCTTTAGTGTGCTCCATCCACAGTGATCCCTTGCACAGTGATCCCTGAGACCAGTGACAGGCATCTGTGACCTGAGTGGAGACCAGAGGACGATGATTGTGGGAGGTTGTGAGATATGGGACCCAAGGCCAAGGGTGAATGGCAGGGATGCATGTGAAGGAGGGAGACTGGAGTGAACGGGAACTGGGAAAATCCCCAGAAACCCGTGGTCTAGGAAGAAACAGGGAATTGGAAGCAAGTGAGAAACGTGAGACACACATACAAAGTCAGAACAAGGCAGTAAATTGAAATCACGGGGACTATTAGGAGATCCATACCACCAAATCTCAATAATGTGTCTTGAATACAAAGAGGTATGAGATGGGAAGGCAAAAGAGTGGCCAAAATAGACAATCTGCATGGAAGGAGGAGACTATGAATTGGAAAAAGCAAAGAAATACTGGAGTTGGGAATCAGGATATTCAAAGAAACCCGAGAGCAAAGAAAGAAACTGAAATCAGAGTTTGCAGACACAGGACATCACCCCGAAGAGAACTTATTAACATGTTGTCACATCTCTCTTGTCCAGTAAAGCCCCCATGTGTGTTGCCTCCACACCGAGCCTGTTGCAAAGCCTGGCCAGCAGATCCATAGCAAGGATGGAAGCCAGCGTTCCCCCCCAACAGGGCAGATCCTGGTAACACTATGGAAACTGAGCTGATCATGGCCTTATTAATGCAGGGCTCTCCAAGACACCACGTTCACTGAGCCTTCGTATGAGCTTTTTAAGCACATTTTCCTATTTTCAAGAGCAAATCCAGAAATTATATTTCCAAGCCATATAAAGGACCACCCCGAAAGCCCTATCCATTGACCCTGTAAGATGCAGGGGTTCATTCATTTTTGAGTCACTTACTTACAAATATAGGTTGAGTTCCTAACCTGTAACAGGCACTTAGAGTAATAAAATGTAGATTTCCGGGATCTTCAAGAACCACTGGTCTCTAGTGAAGGAGACAGGCGCTCAGAGAGATCATTGTAGCAGTTGGTTAAGAAAGGTTAGAAGGAAGACTTCAGGGTGTAACCGTTGAGAAGATGGCCAGTCTCAGAAAAAAATTGAAGGTGTCAACAGGGACCCCATGTGTTGTTTCTTTCTGTATGCACTCAGGCTGAGACTCTCCACGGTTCATGAGCCCAGCAGCACCCTTGTGGTCCTAGAGTGGGAACACTCAGAGCCTCCGATCGGGGTGCAGATTGTAGATTACCTCATCCGTCAAGAAAAGGTCACTGACAGGATGGACCACTCCAAAGTGGAGACAGGTGAGCATCTCCGACTTCGTGGGCTCATCTTGATCCATTGGTGAAAAGAAGAGAGAGAAGAAAAACGCCCTGCCTCCTGGCCTTTGCTCCCGGTCCCCTGTGTCCCAGGGCAGTGCAGGAGGAGCGGGGACAAGCTAGAACAGCCATCTTGCCCACGTAAGAGTTTTTGCATGGCGAGCTATCTGACAAAGTCTTGTTTTGATTTTGTTTTTCTTTTTGTTTATTACAGAGGTGTCCATTTCACTGCCGCTAGGCACACTCACAAAGAAACAACAATACAGTACACTAGTTATCCTAGCCCACAATTAGGAAACAATTCTGTGCTAACCACTGCCATGATTACAGAAAAAAAAAAAAATTCCTTTGCTAATAACCCCCCTCCAGGCACAAGCATGTGCAAACAGATGTGCTTACCCCGTGTCTTATCCTAAAGCAAACTCTGCTTTCCCAGGTCCAGCTAGAAGAGGGAAGTCTTAAAGAACGGGAAACGCCCCATGAAAAATGTTCCATGCCTTAGGATTTTGCTGCCTACACGTAGGGAAAGGTCAACATAAATCATGCCTAAGACTTATGCATGAGCGTGGCATCCACAGTCCGACTCAGGGTACATGGCTTCTTTTGAAACCATCACTCGGGCTGAGAGACCTATGCAGTGCCTTCGGGTGTGGAGAATGTCTCTTGCTTCCCCGAAGGCTCTTTTCCTGCTGTGTACAGGTACTGCAAAGGTCTGGCAGTGACCACTGACCACAGCAGCTGTTCTCTGCCCTTGCCAAGAACATTTCATAAAAGAGCTCACAGATGGGGTATGCATGTCTTGCATCCGGAGTGGTATCTGCATTCACTCTGGACAAACGGCTCTAAATTGACGAAACACGAAACGGAAGAGCCAATTCCTTCTAGGTCTTTTTTCTCTGCAGCAATTCGAGAAGACTGGGGACCAAGCAGTGTTAATGTTAAGTTCTCATTGAACTGACGCCATGCCCTCACCGCTTGGCCGTCGTTGTTTCTCATGGCCTTTTCCGTTCCTTCCCCCTGGGCAGAAACGGTGCTGAGCTTTGTGGACGACATCATCTCTGGAGCCAAGTCTCCTTGTGCCATGCCCTCTCAGGTGCCAGACAAGCAGCTTACCACCATCTCTCTGATCATTCGGTGCCTGGAACCGGACACCATCTACATGTGAGTGACACACATCCGCCTAGCGATTCTTTGCCCTGAACGTCCTGAGGCTCTAAGCTCCTTCTCTTTTGTTGCTTGAGTTCCTTCAGAAACTTGGGGAAATATTTTGAGTTTCTCAAGTCCTCTCCCCATCGGCATTAGGGAGAGCTTTCCAGGGCCTGGAAAGGGAGGATGAAGAAAGACCGGATAGCCCCATCCTTCAAAGACTCTGCCACGCAGAGAGGACAGATACAAACAAATCACTTTCATATCGGGTAGGAAGAAAGAAATGCTAGATGGGAGAACAAGGAACGTGTGGTAGAAGGCAAAAGGAAGGAATGGTGAATTCTGACTAGAGTGGACGTCGTCTGACTTGGGTTGTGTACAATTTCCATAGGTAGAGTGATGTTGGAAAAGGCACAGCAGCCTAGGGAGCCAGCAAGGGCAAAAGCAAAGAGGCATGAAGGTGAGTAGCAAGTAGTCCCGTAGAGCAGAAGCAGATGGTGAGTAAAAGGGAATGGAGGAAAGTGAGTCCAGAAAAATAGAGTGAATGCTGTAAGTCAGGGAAGATTATTCATTTTGTTAGATGAAAGGTGTAGAATGCCAAGAACTCTGCTTTTTTTTCTTTAAATTTTTTTTTTAATGTTTGTTTATTTTTGAGAGAGAGAGAGAGACCCAAGTGGGCGAGGGGCAGAGAGCGAGGCAGCCACAGAATCCGAAACAGGCTCCAGGCTCCGAGCTGTCAGCACAGAGCCTGACATGGGGCTCGAACCCACGGACAGCGAGATCATGACCTGAGCCGAAGTCAGATGCTCAACCGACCTGAGCTGGAGTTGGAGGCTCAACCGACTGAGCCACCCAGGCGTCCCAAGAACTCTGCTTTTTTAGAAAGCCAGCTCTAGTGACTTTGAGAGAGTTTCTAGAGGTTAGAGATGGTCAGCACTTTTCTTCAAAGGAAATACAGTGGACTTCTGTATCATGGCACTTGGAACAGCCCTGCGCTCTCGGGGAGCTCTTCCTCATTTTGCCCTGAGCTCCTGGAACAATTGTAAAATATTTTGTGAAGCAGAGACGTGAAAGACTCCAAAAGAGGGAGACATGGAAGGAGTGTAAGTCATGATGGGAAAATTGTCGGGGAGGGGGAGAGGCAGAATTCCTAGTGACGTCATTCTGGGACCTTTTGACCCCATCGGTATGAAAAACATGTAACAGTTTACAGATGAGGTCACAAGAATAGAGTCAGAGTAGCCAGAATAAATCATCTCCATTTCCACAGTTAAAGAATTCAGAGGTGAAAAGCCCCAGAAGTGTGAGTGGCATTGATTGCAAAATGAACTTAGATGCTCAGCCTGCATATCTTCAATCTAGGAAAAAGAGTAACTAGGGGGCCATACGAGTAAAATACATAAAGACAAGGGATATGCTAGAGGAGCTGGGAAATACAGAGAGCCTACTTGTGATTCTTAGCGGCTCTCGTGCTGTTGGGCAGCACGAACCCTGTATGAGCAAAGCTTCTTAGCTTTAGGAGCAAAGATTAGGGAGGGTGGACCACCTCGCCTGCTGTCAAATGCCTCCAATTCGGTGAAACTGGAATTCTCATTTCTAGCAAAGGCTCCATAATTCCTGCCACTAAGTCACAACTGTTAATTAGGAATTTTGAAATTCCTATGAGCCAGCCCTTACCCATCTTGGGACCCTCCTCATGTTGGCCTGACTGGGCCATATTTCCTGATCAAAGACCGGAGACCGATACCTTCTCCCACTCTGCTATCTTTGGGGAGCTTCCAATATTGCTGTCTCGTCAAACACGAACTTTCTGTCAGTGTGGATTACTGGGGAAGTCAGAGACAGCGCCCGGGGGGCCGAGGGAAGGAGCAGCCAGCTCTGCGGCACTCCACTAGGTGGCGCTGCAGATCACGCGAAGAGGGCCGTGGAGGGCCCGGGAGAGTCGTTCCTCTCCGCAGAGGATCAGGAGAAGCCAGACCTTCAGTCCCTGGTGCAAGGAGGGAGCCCTGGATTAGTTGTTGGAAACACTTGGCCCCTAGCCTGGTTTTGTTTCTAAGCACTAAGTAATTCTAAGCAAGATTGCAACTAAGTTTTCTGATCATTAAAATGGAGAGGTCAGCCTTCGTTTATGGAGTGCTTACTATGCCTGGGAGCCTCGGGGACCCTGTGAGGTCGGGGTTGCGCTCCCATTTTATAGTTGAGGAAAACAGAGGTTCAGCAACACGGAGTAACTTCCACAGAATTGCAGGCTGGTTGTCTGGGGTGTGGCGGTGGTTCAGAATTGAATCGGGGTTTGCATTTTCTTCACTCACTGCTTCTCGCTCCCCAGCCACTCCAGGCTGCTGCCATGACCTCATTACCTCACACGAAGGCTTAGGGCTGGTTCTTCTCCTGGGCTCCACGGAAGGAGACGTGCATTTCAGCCCAGCTGGCTTATTTTGCCATCCTATCTGTGCATTTTATTTAATGCATTAAAAAAACATTCTTCTGAGGATTCTCGGTCCACAGTACAAAAATGTTTAAGAATCCCCGGTTGAGATCCCACAGTTTGTGAGATCGAGCCGCGTGTTGGGCTCTGCACTGACATTGTGGAGCCTGCTTGGGAAGCCCAGAGGATGAGAAACTCCAGTGACCGCCATTGCTGAGGATCCAAACAGCCACTGGGAAGCTGTGTGGGGCCGGTGTGGCACAGAGGGACCACTCAGACCTAGGAGGAGAGGGCTGGCAGGGAGAGAAGGGTAGCAGGGTGCCGGAATTTGGACCAGGGTCAGATGAGGTTTAGGACCAGGCAAGATGGTGAATCTGAACCAAGGAGCAGAGGCCAGTGGAACAGACTGAGCCGCCTTGTGGAGATAGGAGGGAAAGCCTAGCACCGGCCCCAGCCTGACTGACAGCCAGGAGCCCAGGCAGTCCTGCGGGGCCCACAGGTGTGGTCTGGGCCCTGCCCCCAGGCAGCTCATCACATTCTCAGTCCCAGCAGCCCGCGTTTCCACTTGGGGCTTCTGGTCCGTGGTGGGGTGGAACTAGCCGTACATGGGAAACAGGCCCCCAGCCACAGGCAAGTCAGGACCCCTGAACGCTGGCTGTTCCGCTTCTGACTTCAAAAGGGAGAAACTGTCCTTGGCCCTCTGCGTCACCGTGCCATCTGAGCGCAAGACAGGACAGAAGAGAATGAATGTGATTTACTCAGTGTCGCCGGTTTCCGGGTATTGTCCTCGGTCTTTCGGGACGTAATGATCTCATTTCGGCCTCACAGGGACCTGCAGGCGGGTTCATCATCATCCCATTTCACAGATGAGAGAAAGGAGAGCTCAGAGGATTTAGCTGTAACTCCCCACAGCGGGGAGTGGGGCCTCGGACCCGAGGTCTGACCCCAGGTTCCTTGGACACATACGTCTTCGCTCGGCTCAGTGGCCGTCAGAGTAGAAGTGGAAGGCTTGTTAGAGCACCCCTCTGGAGTTTCCGATTCAGTAGGTCTGGGCCGGACGGGAGAACTTTTATGGCTGCCGAGTACCCAGGTGAGGCCGATGCCGCTGGGCTGAGGGCCCCCCTTTGAGAACCAGTGCTCGGTGCCCTGATGCCTTCTGCCAAGTAGTATACCCAAGGCACCCCGTTACAACCCAGGACCCGCCGGGAAGCCACGAGAGGCTCTGGGCTACGCACCTCATGATGTGAGTGGTAGCAGCAGGTTGACACAAGGCTGCGAGAACGGCCGGGGCCAAACCTGCCCAAGCACAGCTTGGCTGTCAGCCAGGCCCTCAGCTTCTCTCTGACGACCACTTCCTCCCCCTTCTGCCAGGTTCACCCTGTGGGGCGTGGACAACACCGGACGGCGTTCCAGGCCCAGCGACGTGATCGTAAAGACCCCTTGCCCCGTGGTGGATGATGTCAAAGCCCAAGGTGAGTGACGCCAGGGCCCGCAGAGCCTGCAGGGGGCTGAAAGCGGGAGCAAGGGAGTCAGACAGAATGTGGGTTCTGCGGAGAAGGGAGAGGATGCGAGGCCCAGCCCAGGGGCGGCGCCTGTCTGATCACCTCTGCCTCTGCCTCTGCCTCTGGTGGAGAGCCTCACGGTCTGCCGCTATTTCACACGGTCTGAGAGTCAGGCAGCTGGCACGACACGCTGACGAAAGCCCTGGGCACGCACAGGCGACAACACCGAACGCTTGGGTGTGCATCGAAGTGCCTGTGACCTTGGCCCTCAGGACCCTGATCCGGGCACTTGCTGGCTTCGTGTGTTTGTGCACATCTGAAGGGTTATTTTGAATTAAAGCATAGAGAGTCTGCAGGTGGGGAATTAATTACCGTATCCCCGCCCCCCCCAAAGATGTTTCCAAATCCTTAATTCTGTATTTCAGAGTATCTGTGGGCCAGTCCCTTGGTAGAGAATTGTCCCTCTTCAGTGCACCGGAATAGGCCCTTGTCACTTAAGGGGTTTGCCTCTGTCAACATCCGTGGCACAAACAGCCCACTTGCTAGAGATCCCCTTCCTCATGTTGCCCCCTGGCGCGTCTCAAGAGCGTCCCCTGCTCTGAGGCTTATCACGTGGCCTCCAGAGCCAGGATTTGGCCGTCCCGGGCACCCCTTCTGCAGAGCTCTGACGCCAAGCACAGTGCCCTGTCCAGCCACCGCAGTCTCTCCGGTGGCCTAGGGCCGATTTGATTTGCACGTGAGCCGACTCTGGGAGCTCCGGCCGTGCAAGTTTCAGGAAGGGAAGTGGGGTGGCCAAGCTGATTGCTGGCCCCGCCGGTGGCCTTCCGGGTGGCTCCTGGCTCCAGGCGTATCAGGCTGCCCGTGAGGGACACGGTCCCGCAGCGTTCCAGGGGCGCGCGCAGTGATGTGAAAACACACAAGGAGGAGTGCCCCAGACCTACGTTAACTGGAACCACTGGCGCGGTAGCCCTCACAGCTCCTGGAAGGATCCTCGCAGTTACCGCCTCACTGAACACGTGTGGCCTGTGAAGAGCGCGGTTATTTTCCACACAGCGATCTGCCCCTGCTCGGGCCCCTTCTTAAAACTCTTCAAGGATTGCCATGCCTCTCGTGACAGAGACCAAAATACTCACCAGACACACGGGACCTGACTGAGGTGACCCTGGCCCGCTTTGCCAGCCTCTTCCTGTCCCCTCTCCCCATCAATCTCTGCGTCTCTGCCTCACCGCCTTTCTCAGGTCCCCCACGCCATTTCCGCTCCCGCCGCCGGTCTTGTTGCCTCCAGTGCTCGCCACCCCCAGCCCTGAGCGAACCGATTAACTCCCCTCCGCCTGCAGATTCGGGATCCGGTGTCCCTTCCTCAGGACAGGCACTGCTGGAGGTTCCGCAGCACCGCGTTACTTTCCTTCGGAACATTCATCTCTGTTTGTTAGTATTCTCACGGGCCCAGTATCTCTCACTGGACAGTGAGTTCTGCTAGAACGGAATCTGCTTTGTTGGCTCACTGTCACGTCCCTAATGCTTCGAAGGAAGGCAGCATGGTGACAGGAAAATTTAGGCTCTGGAGTCAGACCATCCAGGTTCAGATTCCTGATCTGCTGGCTACTTGACCTTGAGCAGCTAACCTCACCTCATGTCTCCGTTTACTGATCTATAAAATGGGGGAAGGGATAAGACTACCCTACCTGATAGGAGTCTAATAAGAGTCAAATGAGTGAATTTACTTTAAGTCTTTTTCTCGTGCCCATCCCGTAGGAACGGTGCAGTAGATGTTAGGGAACATACATTCTAAGATGGCGCCCCTCATGGCCAACCTGATACAACTGGAGTCAGGAGCCCAAATGAGGTGATGTAAGGGGTATGAGCAAATTGCTTGGCCACAACATTTCTCTGGATGAAACTGGCTCAGCTTAGAATTCCAGCCTCAAAGTCTCCGTGACTACAGAAATGCCGCCGCTAACCATGCGGAGTCTGCTTTCCGATAGGGACCCGGTAAGCATTTACTGAATGGATAGAATATTGCCCCCATTTTATGGGTGCAGAAATTGAGATTAGGAGTCGAGTGAACAGCTGACCAGGGTCACAAAGTGAGCAGCTAACAGCCTCGGCACTCAGACCCATTATTTGACATCAGTTCCCACTTTGCCTATAATGTTAAATTAGATATTTAGAAGGTCATTGTGTAAAAGAGTGAAAACCTGTCTTTGAATGAATAAAAGACCTACATTTTAAGCAGAGTGTTCAAGTTAGGTGGCGGGGGGGAAAATCCCCCTTTTTAGAACTATGAGAATCCACTGGGATGCTTCTCTCCAGAGTGAGATAGGGTTGGCTGATAGGGTATGGACCAAATGACTTTGGAAGGTCTCGAAATCCCTAGATGATGAAACCAGAGTCTGGGGTTGCAATGAGAGGCTATCTGGACAGAACCGGCGGCCCCCTTATGTCATCATCTGTTGATTTCTTACTCCAAGCCAGAGAGGAGCAGGTTGTGGGAAGGTGCCCCAGTTATTTCTGTTTTGGAAAATTTGCTGATGTCTCTGCTGGCAGAAGTGGGCCCCTTGGACTTGCCTGCGGAAGAGGCCGCAGGCTGGTGGGGCATCAGGGGCGGGATCAGCAGGTAGGAGATTTGTAGCACAGTGCTACCTGTGGGAACAGGTGGACAGACCGCGACACTGGACCAAAGAATGGCCAACGTAGAGAGCTGGCCTGGGAGAGACCACTGTTCTGCTTCTCTGTGGGGCTCCTTTGGGTTAATTCAGCCCCCAAAGTGAATCAAGACGTGTGGCTGCCCCCTTGGGCTCCCTGACAGAGCAGAGTGTCTGGAAGCCCAGCAGACCAGCTGGGGAGCAGGAGAGTCAATTTATTGCTGAGAGAATGACAGCGTCACCAGGTGCTTTTACTCTTCAGCCAAAAGGGGGTCCTGTAGGGGGCAAATGTGCAGATTAATGGCCTGGACTAATTGAGGGGATCCTCACAAATTAATACAGTTCTAGCAGCTGTACCGAAAAACCATATGCTTTGCCTCCTTCAAACCCAGATGGTGGTCATAAATATAACTCACTTGGGTCTGAGTTTAAATCTAGTAACAAATGGGAATTACCTTTTAAGTGACCCGGAGCATGACCTCGGCTCCTAATTACCCAGCAGGAAGCTAGACTCTATTCCTTGTACGCACACTTTTCCTATGAAGAATTTTATCACATCATGACACTAAAGCCACTGAGCCAGTGAGTTTCTCGTCATGTTCTCCTGAAAGCACCCTTCCCGGGAAGAACGAGCTAATGTCCACGATAAGACCAGCCTGGTCTCCAAGCTGAGGGCAGAATCTTAACTGGCATGGTTTGGGAAGAGGGTGGAGAAGAATACACGCTGATACTGGGGGAAAATCATTGCAGAAGGAGGAACAGCACGAAAGAGATGCTTGGTGTGTTTAAAGATGTGGAAGGAGGCCCCCATGGTGGAGAGGGATGGGGAGGAGAGAGGGCAAAGAGGAGTTCAGAGGGACTGTGGGGCGGATCCCGTGGGGCCCCAGTGCAGGGCTGAGGATTCAACCTGGGATTCGGAAGGGAAGCAATGGAGCCCTTCAAGCGGAAGAGGGATGTGATTGGACTTCACATTGTCCGGGAGCATTCATCTGCTGTGCTGAGAGTGGACTCCAGATAGCAGGTCCGAGATAGAAGTGGGGAGCCAAGGCTGTGGCAGTGACAGAGGAGAGGGGACGCTTGCGAGGGCCGTGGTGCCGAGTGGGCCGGTCCTAAGTTATTTTGATGGTAGGACCAAGAGGATTTGCTGATGGCTTGGATGTGGGACAGGAGAGAAAGAGGTCATGCTAGGCGTCATATGTTGTGAGAAGGGCTGGGCAGGGGTGTGTTGAGAATGCCAACGGAGCATGAGCAGAACCACCTAGCTCAGTGGCTTGTGACTGTCCCCCAGCAGATCCCAGGAGCCTGTGTGAAGACAGAGAAGAGACAAAGGATGGAGCAAGCCGGCTGAGGGCACAGGCCATGGGCCATGTGGATGGTGCCAGGTAGAGAAGGAGGCAGACAGAGCCGATGCCTGAAGTGAGCGGTGGTTTCCATCGCTGAAGGACAGATTTGACGCCAGGAAGAAGTACAGGAAGTTTGAAAGGAGGTTGTGTTGACAGCATGTGATCCTGGGATTTACTGGGACAAAGCTGGAGAAGGTCTCAGACAGGATAATTGACTCCTGATGGCTGGGGGATCTAGTCTTAAAGAGGACTTTCATGTCGACAGTGAAGTTGCCCTAAATGGTGATGAGAAATGAGGTGGAAAAGATGAATTAGATGCCAGATTCTTTCGTGGAAGAATGGTCAGGAAATAAGCAGGGGGAAATAGGAAGAGGCAGGTGAGTTTCTAAGGTGGAGGGACGTTTATGTATGTACGGAGAGAGCAGTAAATTGTTTGCAAGTACTCGTGAGAGGCTGAGAGGCTGCCCTTCTCTGGGGGCATGGGAGGATTCCTCTGTGTGGGAGAATGCTTCAGGAAGGTTTCTGCCAACACAGGGACATCAGGAACGTTTGCCAAGGTCAAGGGGAAAGGGAGAGCAATTTGCCATATTGCCGGTCCCAGAGGAAGCAAGGAAACCCTTGAGAGAATTAATTTGTCTAGAGCAGTGGTTCTCAAAGTGTGATCAGACCAATAGCAGCAGCCTCACCTTGGAACCTGCTAGAAAGGCAAATTCTCAGGTTCCATCTGAGACCTACTGAATCAGGAACTCCAGAGGAACCATTAATCTGTGTTTTTCACAGGCCTTCCAGGTGGAGAATCAAATTTTATTCCCAGGGCTGAGAATCACGGGTGTGAAGGCAGCACAGAGCAGCCGGGGGAGGTGAGAGGCTGCAGGGGAAGGGGACAGAGGCTGGAGGGTGGGGGTGGGCGGTGTGGACAGTGCCAAGAAGGACAAAGATAGAAGCCAGGTGGGGTTCCTTGCCCTCATGTTTTCATATAGAATTCTGTGATCAGTTACTTCATTGTGGGGCCAGACAGACCCAGGGACTCATGACAATGGTGCCTTAGGACCTCCATTCAAGGAACTTTCGTTATAGCAGCAAGGAAGCCATTAGGAGGTATAGATGCTTCCAAGATTCTTATTTATTTCATAGTAAAAAGAGCAGCCACTGGGACGCCTGAGTGGCTCAGTGGGTCAAACGTCCGACTTTGGCCCAGGTCATGATCTTGCAGTTGGTGAGTTCGAGCCCCACATCAGGTTCTCTGCTGTCAGCGTGGAGCCTGCTTTGGATCCTCTGTCCCACTCTGCCCCTCCCCCGCTCTCACGCCCTAGTGCTCAATCTCTGTCTCTCTCTGTCTCTCTCTCTTTCTCAAAAGTAAATAAACAAAAAAAAAGAGCAGCCACTGCTGGGGTATAAGAAAGTTCACTTCTGCCCCAGGAATCCCCCCCGCTCATTCAAATAAGACTATTTTCCACAGTCTCTTGGACTCCTGTGTTTCAGTATCTCTCTCATGGCATTGGGAAAAGCTTGATCCAGTGATGAACCAGTAATAATCATAATAGTAAATAATAATAGTAAAATAACATCCACCATCTTTCGACTCTCACTCATCTTACTCCAAACATGGTGGCTTATTTGCTGTTTTCAGATATGCTGCCCGCCATAGCCTAGGAGCTCTGTGCTGGCTTGCCTCTCCCTGACATGCTCTTGCCCACGTCTCCCTGCAGCTCATCCCCTCCCAAGACCTCCAGGTCCTGGCTCCAGGGTCATCTTTGCAATAAGACCTATCATGGTGGGGCGCCTGGGTGGCTCAGTCAGTTGAGCAACTGACTTCGGCTCAGGTCATGATCTTGTGGTTCGTGGGCTCGAGCCCTGCATCAGGCTCTGTGCTGAGAGCTCAGAGCCTGGAGCCTGCTTCAGATTCTGTGTCTCCCTCTCTTTCTGTTCCTCCCCTGCTCGTTCTCTGTCTCTCTGTGTCTCTCAAAAATAAATAAACGTTAAAAAAATAAGACCTATCATGGCCACGTGTTGAAAAATCTCAGGGCCCCACACAACTCCCCCATTCTTCCTTCTTCCGCTTGACTCTCTCCCACTTTTTTACAGACTCTATTGTACTTGCTATGGTTGTTGCTCCCCTAAATGCCTCCTACCACTGGACCGTAGCACCTCGAGGGTGAGGACTTCTGTCAGTTTCTCCCTGATGTAGCCTGAGTGCCTAGAAAAATACCAAGTACATGGTGATTGTATTGAATGGATGAATACATGTATGCTTACTGTGTCCAGACATTGTGCTGAAGAAAGGCTTTATGTTTAACACCACTTAGTCTCGCAATAATCTTGGAAGGTGTATATTATTCACCGTCACAGAACAGAAAAGTCAACTAAGACCCAGAGAGGTTAAGTAATTTGTCCAAGGCCACACAGCTAGTGTAGTGGAACTCACCTTCATATGATGCTATATGCCACGGTGCCTGTTCTTAACCATCCTCTGCATCTGAGGGCTTAAGTCCCAGCCCTGTTGGTTTATTCTGCTCCCTAAGAGGTATCGTTTCCCTTTTAAGAACTAGTAACTCAGCTTGATTTTTTGTGATGAGTTATGTCTGTAGACTCCCTGCCATGCCTCCACCTGCATTTTAAGTATTCCTGAACACCATGCATTTTAAAGAGAGGAAGGACATATCCCTGTTTTGGATAACCCAAGACTTCTGTGAAGCTGAAAGCTGGGTAAAATGATAACTAAAAATACCTTGTATTCTTTTCCATTCTTTGAGTTAATGACTTCTTGAGATGCTATGAAAGTTAATGAAATAACATCTCTAAATTTCGTCCGTGGAAATAGGAGGAACCAGAAATACTCACGCGCCAGGAACCTAGCATATAGATCCCTCTGAATATAGCATCGCGCTTACTGATGTAGGCTTGTAAGCACACCCTGGAGTTAGATTATCTTGGTTTTAGGAGATTTATGGTGGCATCCGGGCCTCTCCCACCTGGCCTCAGGCATATGTGCTGCTGCTAATGGAAAGCATCAGCCTTCTCTAGTTGGATATTACTGTTGTGTTATGAGAATAGTAAATACACCCGAAAACACCTTCTCAGCCATCCCCGTTCCTCTGCGGAGACAGTCATAACCAGGGCCTGGGGCCAGGGATGCTATTTCCCATCACCAGAAATAAGAACAGAGAGGCATCAATAAACAGAACCCCAGCCCTCCCTATCTGGGCTCTGGTCTGATCGCCCACATTCTTCCTCCTCTGGTCTTTCTTCTCTCAGTACACATTCCCCTCCTCTCACTGCAAACAATACGGCTCTTAGACTGGTCTCTCTGCTCCTGTCTGTCTCGGCTCCAGAAATGACAGGCTCCCTGCATACTTACTGGGAGTCCCTCTTACTCGACACCTAGGGGCCACCTATGGGTCTACCAGAAACAGTCACGTCAGATGTACATCCACCGGGATTCCGCCTCCTGTGTCTTAAATTGGTGAAACACTCCAATCCCCTGAGCATTAGTGCCAAAGAGTAACGGAGGACAGACCTGGTTTTAAATCTTGACTCCAGCCCACACTGGCTATGTGACCTTGGGTGGGTGACCTGGCCTCTCTCCGAATGTCCTCGTGTGTAGGATACAGACATTCGTATCCATCTTGCAGTGATGGTGTGAGGATGAGAGTTTATATACGTAAATTTCTTGACAATCAAGAGACCGTTAATAAGTAACTAGAGGTACTATAGATCGTTATGTTCTAAGTCACTGTCCACTTTACCTCTTGATCCTATTTTAACAACCTGAGAATTTAAAAATCCTGAATATCTCAGTGGATTTCTGGACTGAAGTTATTTTTAATGCAGTTAAGGTGCTGGCCATCAGAGTTTGATTGCTAAAGGATTGGTAGAGTGTGGGATAGAGAAATATCACTGGATAGATCATGAGTTCTATTCTTTTAGCTAAGATGTTCTTTAACTACTATGTTGTTTGGCCCTGTGCTGGGCACTCAGGACGTGGAAGAAGCTCTGGCCCCTGTCCTCATAGGCGATGGGCAAGATAGAAAAGTAAGGAAATCATTGCCATGTCTGGACAGAGTAGGAGTAGAAATTTTCTTCCTTCCAACCCATGAAACTCCTACAACAATGACTGTCATTACCAACAGTCCCTGAATTCACTTGGAATTGTGACAGCGAATCAGGTTGCTATGCCTTTTGGCTAACAGGAGGTCGAGTAGGCAAAGTTCTGTCTCAGAAACCTGTAGACTTAGTTTCTTCATCCTCAGATTTAACATTGGATCTGAGACACAGTTCTCTCCAGATCTCAGTTCCCAGCTGTTTAGGAAGGAAATGTGAACAAATCTCCTTTCTGACAGGTTTAATACGAAAACATTTAATGATAAAGTGCTTGGAGCTCCATAGGAAAAATGCCAAGGCTATACAAATTCATTGCCACTTTGCCACATCACCAAGTTCAGTCTTAGCAATGTATGCCTTGGAGGAGAAATATAAGAGTTCTAAATTAAACCGAAGGATTACTCATTTGGAGCTGCAGGATGTATTGGATTCAATTTCTGTGTCACCACAGATCTGCAAACGTGTTTTCATATCTGGTCGGGGGTGGGGGGTGGGCTTGCAAAGGCTTGGTGTTCCTGAAATCCTAATCGTGGGGCCAAGGTTGCCTTAGAAATTGTGACCATTCACCACTCCGGGTTCTTCACGCTGCCCTGGCATTGCCTGACTACCTCACTTCATCCCTGAGCCAGATCTCTACCCCCTGCCACCCAGGGATTCCCAATAGCTTTTGCAGGACCCACTTGGTACCCAAGCATATGCAAGCCGGAAGTGCAGGAGAGCTAATGGCTCATGAAGACAAATGTGAGAAGTCCCTGCAGACCATTCACAGATGGGAGCTGGGAGTAAAGTCTTCCATTCTCCTGGGACAGACTGGTGGGGCTCTGGTAGCTTCATACATCCTGTCCTGCAAAACGTACCACCTGCTCCCTTAGCACACTTCCCTTAGAGTCACTCAGCCCCCTTTCTCGCTTCATTTCCTTCCTCCCTCCTTCCAGCTTCCCTGGGATTGCACTTGCCAATAAAGTATTAATCTGAAGTCTTTTGCCTCAGGCACTGTATTTTCAGGAAACGTGGGCAAAGACAGAGACTATTCTAACTGAAATTGACCTCAGCAATATTCCATTTGAAGGTTTTCATTTTATAGAAAAGAGAGCTACAAACAATGGGGCAGAGATAAAGTGAGTTACTCAAACCCCTGTCTCCAGCCTCCAGGTTTGGTATTTAAGCAACATCTCTCTCTCTCTCTCTCTCTCACACACACACACACACACACACACGGATATGTATTACACACATCTGCATACACGTGCACACTCATATGTTGCACGTGTATACACAAACGTTAAAAATCTTATTTATTTACCTTTGTTGTCCTCCTCAGAGATAGCAGATAAGATCTACAATCTCTTCAATGGCTACACCAGTGGGAAGGAGCAACAGACGGCCTATAACACCCTCCTGGATCTGGGTTCTCCAACCCTACACCGAGTCCTCTACCACTACAACCAGCACTATGAGAGTTTTGGAGAATTCACCTGGCGGTGTGAGGATGAACTGGGCCCCAGGTAACTAATAAACTTCATTGCCTCTCATAGAGACCTCAGCTCTTTGAAATTTGGTACTTCCTACACCATAATACTGAATCCATGAATTCACAGAGATTTCCTGGGTGAGCTTAGTTGCTTGTAGAAGGAAGTTCTGTGCTTTTACACAGCCCAGTTCATATAGATTAGTTTTGGATAAGCTGTATTTAAGCAGCCAAGTCATGAATACATTTCTTGAACTCTAAAAAAAATCTTTGCCCTTGACCTGTTTTACCCGCCTCTTTTTCACGCTGACATGGCATTCCAAATGCTAAAACACAGTAGGAGCCAGAAGCCTAGTCTTGTGAAAGAAAGTTAGGAATTTTATTGAAGGGGTTATCCAAACATATTTATTGCATATGAACTTTGCTTATGCAATATGCATTGCACAGGCGTATTTTCAGCTCAACTGCACATTCTTTTGAAAGACAGCGTGGTGATGGTCAGTATCCACCTTGACAGCTATCTTGATAGGCCAAAGTTAGGACAATATAGTGTTTCCCTGGCCCTGAAGCTGCAACTTTTCAATACTCAGTCCCTACTGCTTATTGGTTTTACAACTCAGATAACATTCTTAGAAAGAGACAAATGGGGATGATGTGTGCAGATACTAACTTCATTCTGTTTCTACATCATGGCTATATATTCCAAGAAAAACAGATTTCAGCGGAAGCACTGGAATGTTCAGATAGACGGTGTAAGAGGCTTTTCACATGGAATGTTGGCACCTGTATGTCCTTGAATTAGTTAGGAGTTCATAAAGAAAAAAGGGGAGAGCCAAGGACTAAGAAAAAAAAAAAGAAGGAAAGAAAATGAAGACAATCAACACAATGGAATCCTCTAGCACTTGAAGAATCCTTGCACTCCTGCCAATAGGCTGCACGAAAGTATCACCCAGAAGTTGTCCCACCCATCTGACCTCTGAGCGAACTGGAGGGAGGCCCAGTGTCAGAGTGCCTCTTGTGACCTGAAATTATAAACTCTCGTAGAAGACCATTGCTCAGGACATTCCCTCCTGCATTCTTACTTTTGAAAGAAGGAGGAAGTTTAGGAGTATCTTCCAAAATACAATGATTTGAAGTGTAAGTTTAGGAAGAATCTTTTCTGCATTTCATAAATTATTTCCTGCAGTTTATAGAGACTGGCGGTCCTTGGGCAAACAGATGCCAGAGCTATGTCACAGAGGGAAATACATAAGGGGCTTTTCATTTGTTTTGTCTCAGTTTCGGTAAAAAGCAAACCCTGGGTTAGAGAGAAGATACACATTAAGATATGTCCCCTCCGGTCTATACATTATTACTCCTACCCTTATTATTACGTATACCTAATATCCCCTCTCTCCACCTCTCTCCCCCCACCTCCCTTCCCCCTCTTGCTCTGCTCCCTCCCTTCTTTCTGCTCCCCCCCTCCTTCCTTCTCCCTTTCCTCCCTCCTGACATTTATTGAGTGTATATATACAGTTCTTGGTTAGGGAACATAAATGTCACAATTTGAATAGCACTAACATTGCATATATCATCTTGATTTCCAGGGGCATTAGGATTGCTTTTAAAATTTCTCTCTTGTAACTCAAGAGTCGGGAGAAAAATTGGTTAATAAAGAAAGGGAGCAGGGGAAGAAGCGTGGATCCCCCTGTAAAGCAGGGCGTGCTGCTGACCTGACACTCTCTTCGCAGACTCTCCTCCCTGGAGACCCTTCCATGTGCAATGCTGGTTTCTCAAGGCTATATATTAGAAAACACTGTGTAATTTCATTAGCTTGTGGAAATCAAGTTTTACTTTCCAGTGTCACAGATCTCGGAGAACCACAGGAAGGGAAGAGCGCTGTGCCTTGAGATGCATCGGCCCACTTTGGAGCTCGTCTTGAGAGTGAACGGAAGAGGGTCTGTGGGCTACATACTTCCTGTGAGCAGATAAGTCTGTTCCCTTAACTTTCACGGAGGCCTCCAGATTGACTTGCGGGTTGAAATACTTTGAGAACGATATTGGTTGTTCTCACCTTCCAAGAATTTGTCAACAACTAATGACATGTAGTGGGGTAGATTAAGAGGAAGGGCCACCAAAGTCCCTGTTGATGACGACTTTTGGAAGCCTGCGTGGCTAAACTGCAGAGGCTGAGAGGCAGAGGAGAGACGGTCTGCATCAGATGCAATTTCTGCGGCAGGAGGAGTGTCTGACTTCCTCTGACCCACCACTGACATCGGAGAAAATACCACTGCCCTCTGATGACCTCACCCTCTCTCAGCCCCTTGACCGTGCTGCTGAATCTCCACACCTTTCCTCCAGCATCATCTCTGTGCCTCTCAGCGTGGCCTCCCGGGAACGCAATGAGATCGCCCCCGGTGATAGTCACAGCCAGACAGGAGAGGAGAAATGAAATGAATGTGGCTATTGTTCTCTGAAAGGTCATCCTGAACGGAGTGCAGAAACTTCCATCTTCTGGAAAGAATTGTTGATTGGATTAGAAAAGAGTGGTTCTTCACATGAGAAGTTAGCTTAGCCGCTGATAAATCCTGCAAGGGGTGCTGTTCACTGAGCTTTTCACGACGGCATTTTACAGCCTCCCACGAGCTCTTTCAAACGAGAAATGCCATGGGTCTCTGAGCACTCAGGCCTTTGTAGAACGAGAGGAACACAGCTGAGTGAGGGAAATGTTGCTCCGTCGCTGCTTCTAAGGGCCCAGAGAGGCGGTGAGTCTGACAGCTGGCTGTCAGGCAGCCCCTCTCTCTGACACTGTAAATGGGCCCAGGGAAGAAGGCTGTACTCCAGTGAGATGGACTGTGGGGACAGCCTGCTTCCCGAGGCTGTTCGTGGAGGCCCCCAGGCTCTGGTCTTGGCCCAGAGGGATCACTGCACTCCAGTGTGCGTGAACTTGGGGCAGCCTCACTCTCCTCTGTTCCTCTCTCTCTCTCCTGGCGATCTGCAGCAACTCAGGTGCCCTCTCGTCCCCTCCTGTTCCTCTCTCTCTTGATTGGGGCGCAATGGCCATGGCCTCCTGGCCTTCCAAGGTAGAAGGCGGAACGGAGCATGAGCTCACCAGAAGGCTAATTAGGTCACGTGTGCCACCGCGAGTCTGCTTTTCCCCCCAAGAATGGCCCTGCATCATTGTGCCCCGAGGGCATTGCTGTCTTGGCCCTTAGTTCACTGCCACTACCTCCATACGGGCATAATTCGTTACATTGATATCCTCCAAAGTTCAGTATATCAGCTGTTTCCGCTTAGTTCTGAAATAGCCTGGAAAAGGCAAATACTCACTCAAATGCATTATTTGTCATTTGATGACGGTAAATTGCTGGCTGTAAAGAAAATGGATTTGATTTGTCTTTCAAAACTGCCAACCCTATGATTTTAAAAGGGCATACATTCCCACTAAAATATCAGTTGTTTTCTCTTCTTTATTTTCCCTCATGGCATTTTGTTTCTCTCTTTTGTTTTGGTGCCTGTCCCATTTGGCACGGCCAGATTCTTCTTCCATCCACCCATCCGTCCATCCAACCAGTTGCTTGACAGATATTTATGGAAGACCCCTGTTCTAAGTGCCCACGCTAGACTAGCAGGTAGAACACACTAGGCTGTGTCCTCTTGGAGTTGAAAAGTCTCATTCTAGGGCTGCCTGGGTGGCTCAGCCGACTGAGCGTCCGACTTCAGCTCAGGTCAAGATCTCGAGGTTCGTGAGTTTGAGCCCCGTGTCGTTCTCGCTGCTGTCAGCGTGGATCCCACTTCAGATCCTCTGCCCCCCTCTTTCTCTGTCCCTCCCCTGCTCACACTCTCTCAAAAACAAATAAGGCTTTAAAAGAAATAATGAAGTCTCACACTAATAGTAGTATCCTCCACGCTTGATCCATAGGAAAGCTGGCCTCATCCTTTCCCAGCTAGGCGATCTCAGCAGTTGGTGCAATGGCCTCCTTCAGGAACCCAAGATAAGCTTGCGACGTGGCTCCCTGAAGTACCTGGGCTGCCGCTACAGTGAGATCAAGCCCTACGGACTTGACTGGTCAGAGCTCAGCCGGGACCTCAGGAAGACGTGCGAGGAGCAGACCCTGAGCGTCCCTTACAACGACTATGGGGACAGCAAGGACATCTAGCGCCATGAAGCCAGATGGTGTGGCTGCCGAAACGAAGCAGGAGAGAGGAGAGGAACATCTGGGTTGGTTTGTGGATTTTTAATATTTTTTAATGGAACATTAAAACCTCTAAACCAGGGAGAGGCAATAGCTAAACCAGGGAGAAACTGATCCTTGCTCCCGGTGGAACTTCTTTGGTGTGACATTCTCCATCTGCATGGTCGGTACAGCTGCCATCCGGCAGCTTCGTGCAGTATTTCTCTGCAGGGGATTACTTTGGGGCTTGTTTTACAGTTGATTTGTTTCATTTAATTTTTTTTTTTTTCCTGTGAGGTTCATCAAAATGCTCAAGAGTTCTGCCATGCTTCCCATGAAAGGTCTATCAGGTCGAGGCACCCTGTGCTCATTGAGTCCCTGAGTCCATTAGCTGGGGACAGAGATGAGGTCAGAGAGTTGCTAGACTGGCTTCGGGCCCCGGCCTCAAGCGTTCCTCAGGAAGCATCTCACTCTGGGAGCCTAAGCTCTGCTCACAAAGACCACAGGAAATTGGGAGGGTGGCCTCTGTGCGGGTCTCATGGTTTCCCCCATGCCTTCCTATTGCTTGTTTCACACCTCTCAGGTGAACTGAGCCTCCAACATGGGTCCCAGCAGGCCTTCGGGATTTTTTAGGTCCTCACCCATTCTAAGACAGGTTAGAATGAAATCTCCTTCTGGTGGATCTCTGCCTCTCCTTCAGACAATACGATCTTTAAGAGGCGACAAAATGCTACCTGTCAAATGCACCTCCGAAACAGTCTGCCTGGGAGACTAGTTAGCAGTCATATTCTAGAAAAGAAGTAGAGTTGATTATTCTAAAAAACTCCTGTGTCCCAGGTTGAACTTCTCCAGACCACATATGTACGTCCCACGCCTGGATTCTCTTTAGTGTCCGAGTCACTTAACCCTGGGCAGAGAAGGCCTGACCGACACCCACTCTGGTCCAGGAAGGGCTGATACCTCCGTGTCAGTGTTTCGGTGAACTAAAGCTCTTACTGATCACACACACACGCAACCAATGTCTATTTCTCCCTTGCTAAATTTGCCTAATTATGTCGCTAGTTTTGCAGATCCTTTCTCTGGATGGCCATCCACAGGAGAATACCACTGTTTTCACCTCCCATCCAGCTGCCGGGAGTAGCCGAGGTTCTGTGTAGGCAAGTAGAGGCCGGGCTCTTGGCTCTGTCCCATGACCCTAGTGTGATAGCCACAGATATAAGTGGTGGCCCAGTTAAAAGGAAAGCCAGCCTTTCCGCAAGAGCTTTGAGGGCCATGTGGCCCACACACCTCAGAGGCCTCGACACACACTTCCAGTCACCCTGCCTTTGACCGGGGCTCCTCATTTGGAAACACAAGAGAAAGGTCAGGAAAGAGATGCAGGGCGATATGGAACTCCCCTGGGTTTTTTCCAAATAGTGATGACAGATCCTGTTCGTGCTTACCATGTGTCAGAGCTGCTCTGAGCACTTTGTACATCCCTGAATCCTCAGGACAGCCTCCCGCCCCCACCACCAAGGAGGTGCTGTTCTCGCCTCCGTTTCAGTGATGAGGAACCCCAGGCAAAGAGAGGAACCCCATTAGGCTGTTTGCCCCGGATGCCTCCTTTACCGCTGCCTGGGCCCCGACAGGAACAGACCCGTTTGCCTGTGGCAGGCAGCTGTCCCTTCTCTAAGCTCCACAGGGACCCGCCCAGAGAGCTTTCCCTTTGCCACACCTGCCTGGGACAGATGTGCCCACGGTGCACCCTGAACTCAGCCACCGGAGCACCCCTGGGGACCAAGGGGTCTGCGGAGCGAGCTTCCCCCGGGGTCTGGTGGCGGGGCCTGGGGTGAGGCTGCAGGTTCGGGAGGCCTCACAGCCCGCCCTGCGTCTTCCCATAAAAAGACTGAAAGATTTGTCTCGAATTCTGGAAGGTACCTGCCTCAGAAATTCCTCCACTTCCGGAGCCAAGGCCAGCAGAAAAGTCGGCCCTCCCGCTCATGGGCAGTGCAGGGCCGCAGGTGGGATGCCTAAAGGGACATCGTTGACCTCCGCCAGGGAGGACAGTGCCACAGGCAGCTGGTCCCCAACCGGTGGGCGAGGCTGAGAGACAGGCCGTCTTATCCCGTCTGTTCAAGTCCGCCTGGAACACGGGGTCTGTGCAGCATGGTGGGGGCCGCCAGGGCTGCGCTGACTTCCTGGCCCCATGAGCCAACGGGCTGAGGAGGGAGGACAGTGAGTGGCGTCAGGGTCACACTTCTTTGACCACCCCCCCTTCTGTTTATTAAAATAAGGAGGCTCATTCTCTCCCAGTCTCCCCTCCTCCTCCCCCAGGTCCCTCCAGCTTTGCATACAATTTCTCGTCTTCCTCTCGGGCCCCACCCTGCCTCCTTCATCCCTTCCTTCTCCATGACTCTCTTCCTCCTTCCGTGTCCCCTTGTGCCCTTCTCGCGGTACGTGTGCTCACACACACACCTCCACACACGCACACCACACGCCCTGCACACCCGTACATCACACACACGTACCACACTCATCACACATACATTTACACACACACACGAGACGTGCACACACACACGCGTTACACACACAACACACTATACACGTGCACTATGTGCAAAAGTTATACATACCCATACATCATACACGCATATACACATACAGTATACACACGCACTCAACACATATACATCACACACATGCATTATGCACACACAATACACACACATACATAACACACACATCATATATACACACACTATCTATGTATACTACACACACATACTATATGCACATACACTATACACACATATGCACACATACACTATACACACCTACATTACACACACACGCACACACACGCACTATCCACATACATTACACACACACTAGACACACAGACGCTATGGCTGGGTCCCATCATCCACTTTCAAGTTATAAGGAAGGCCAACATGAGTGGGGCAGGATTCTAACTTCCTCTGAGGATTTAACTGCAGGATCTTGGCTCCTGGGAAAACACTGTTGATCGTGCCCTTGTGACCTTTCCCAAAGCGTGCCTGGAGGAACCCATCCTGACTAAAAAGGGTGACGGTACCGGACCAGTATTAAACCTCAAATTTCCAAGCTGACAAACAGGTCTTAGGGAGTCACTTATACCCGCCAACCCTCCCCCGGCTCTGGGCTCCCCCTGAGACCCTGGCATTTCCCCTTAAACATACGTGACCCACCGTAATAGCATTAGACCTTTAACTGAGTATGCAGTCATCTTCCATGGAGTTTGGTCCATTCATTATTTTTGGTTAAGCACACTTCTTGAGATTCAGATGTTCTATTAAAACACTGAGTGTGGAAAAAACCCACTTGACTACGATAGAAGGAAGAATGGATATCGTGTGACCAACTTCAGGTATAACAGTATTGTTTCAAAGAGAATTATTGTACGGTTATAAAAAATGGAATAATCAACTAAATAATAAACAAAGCTGTTAGTAAGTGTCAGGTGTGTGGATGTTACCTTGTGTCTGTCAACAGTCAGAGTGATCTGGGGGGACCCACCGGGGAACTGCTCCAGTTTCGAACGTTACACCTCAGGTGCCTTACAGCCCGCCATCTGAACCAAAACAAAAAGTTAAACACCTCACAGCCAATTATAAATGTGTCGTTAGGCGGTAGTGATTCTCATCTTTTCTAGCACCATCCAGATAATTAGCCAATGAAACGTATTTACTGAGTATCTACCCTATCTCACACACGATGCCCGGTGCCCAGCGTGTGCTGCTGAGTTAGACAAGCTGCTTCTTCATCGCAGAACCTGGCATCTTATGGAGAAAGTCAGACATTGAGTCCATCGTTACCGGAGTGCAGAGAACCATGAGAGAGAAGTACAGGATGGTGGGAGTCACTACTTACCTTCGGGTGTTTAAGGCCAATGTTGCAAAAGGCCCTCCCTGATACTTGCCTGTCTTGTGACTCTATAGAGGCATTTGGGGTAGGGTAGCTGTATGAAATGCTTCATGGTGCTCAGTCCAAGCACTCAACCACTTTTTTTCCCTCTCTACCACGTAACTTTAGATAGATGTTCTCTCTCCTGCCACTCATTATCCCCAAAAAACAGATGTTAAGTGTCTGCACACTTAGCAGGCCCTCTCACAAAGTAGTGATGAGAGCAGTTTCCCCTATACAAGCAGGAACTATCTGGAGGTGAAGACTGTGGCAGTTTTCACACATGGCCACAAATTGTTCGAAACCCTCCCCCTAGACGTGTGTTCTACGGACTCTCCCGTTGAAGCTGGGCAGGTTGACTGTTTTAACCAATAGATTATGATGGAAATAATGCTGTAACTTCCCAGCCTGAGTCATAAAAGGCCCTGGGGCTTCTGCCTCCTTCTCTGGAACTCTTGCCTTTGGAGCTCTGAGCCACCGCATAAGAAATTTGAGGCCACCATGCTGGAGAGTCACGTGTAAGCACTGTGATCCACGGCTCCAGCTGAGCCAGCCTTCTAGACATTCCTGCTGAGGCACCAGACATGTGACTGAAGCTGTCTTAGACCCTCAAGATTAGTCTCTCTGCCAGCTGCATACCACCCAGCAACTTCTATCAATGTCACATGGAAGAGAAGAATCACCCTGCCAAGCCTTGCCTGAATTCCTGACCCCAGAATTATGCAACATAATAAAACAGTTATTGTTTTAAGCCACTAAGGGGGTCTGTTAAATAAAGGGGATCGGATCAGTGGCCAAAAACAACCTATTCCAGCCAGCCAGTAACGGAGCATCGAGATTGCCCTCCCCTAGGCATGAACTCACCACAAAAAGGAGAGGAAAGTGTAGTAGAAAGTGCGGGTTGGGCTATGTATGCATAACATGCTGAGTCTCTGCTCCGACAGAGGAGAGCAAAAAGAAAGATGGCCACTTCATCCCAATACATCTGAGCAGGTGAACCTCAGAAACTTACATGGAAACCCTGGGTTGAGGGGCGGGGATGAGTGCTCCAGGGCCAGCAA